AAAAAAGAGATGGAATTCTGGAACTCAGTGGTAAGAGGGGCAGCATGGGGACTTGTTCAAAAGCCACAGGGAATAGGAAACGTGCAGGCTAAGGATAGTTTGGATGGTGTAAGAGGAAAGAAGTGACTGGATGACGGGAAGCAGCAAAACAGTGAACCATCATCTTTGGTTTGAGCTTTGCAGCACTGAGAGGAATACTGCAGTTCTGTTTGGAAAGCAGCTGTGACAAGTTACTGAAATCACAGCAAAGAATCACATCAGGAAAGCAGTCCTCCGTGGGGCTTAATCAGACCCCCACTAATTCCCATATTTCCTCATTTTGCCATCACCAGAAGACCTGTGTTGGATTGTCCGTTAGCCCTTCATGGCTTCTTGCTCCATTGGCCAGAGAACAAGAAATGACTGATCACAAGATAGGCATTTTTGATCCCTGTCACCCAGTGGAGCAAAATGAAGAACTTACCTAGCCCCTCGTGGTTCTGTAGCCAGCTTTCCAAGGTTGTCGAAATTAAAGTGCCAAAGACTTTGTGATTATTTTTTTAATGTGTTTATGAAAATGGTGATGATCATGAAAAACACAGTCACAGCATTCCATTCTTTTCCCTTTAGCGTCTGAATGTCTCAATACCGTGAGTGATTCCTCACCTTCACCTGGCCTTCTGCTGCAGGGGCACCCAACACAAAATGAAGGTCCAAGCAGCACAACAGGTAAAGCTGCCTTCCAGAACGTAGTATGGAAGAGGTTAATATCTATCTTCTTATAACTTTGACAGAATATTTATAATAGAAATTTAAATCCACCTATCTTTGCTCAGTGATCCGAATGCAAGACTGGCAGAAAGGGAGAGAGGTATGAAACTAATGGGAGAGCTTCCCTCCTTCACCCCAGGAGACTGCTGTAACAACATGGGGACCATGGGGGTGGTAAAACTGCAGACAAAGCCAAGAAGTAATTTCTCTTCTAAAAAAATTTGCACAAGCCAATGTTTCCTACTCGTTAAAGCCTGCAACAGAAGACTCTAGAACAGTTTGCTGTGGTTAAGTGGTCTTTGCTATTTAAACATCCCTCTTCCGTTTTGCTGTGCTTGCTACATCTGCTGCTGTTCGCTCTGTTTATTCATCTGCTTGTGGTGACGGTCTTGGATGATCACCACTGGAGAGCCACCAGTCGGCTTTAGCTAGCCCCAGCCTTTGGCTGGCACATAGTGCCACACCAGCTGAGCTTTGGCAGTGCATTCTTGCAAAATCCCTCCTTGCATTGCGTCCTTCCAGCTTCCCTTCTCCCCTTCCTTTCCCTTCCACACACCGGTAACTCTTTCTTAGCAGTGGGCTCTGCAAGAGCCGTTGCCTTCAAACGTGCTAAATTTCCTGCTATTTACACATAATCCATAGACTTGAGGGCAGATTCCAGAGCCACGCGATAGGTGGCAAATGGAACAGCAGCCCGGGGAGGTGGGGGGGTGGAAAGAGAGATGCCAAAAGTACACTGGCTTCTAATGGCAAAGCACAAGTTTGCTTCCCTCAGGCAAAGCAAGAAACGCCAGTGTGTTCCGTAAGGTCCACGCTCAGCTGTTCTCTGTAGGCTCTGGGCCGTTTGCCGTGCAGGTGGGAAGCCACTCGCTACCTCCTACAGTTCTGCTGGCTGGGATTGGGAATCTGGAGCAGATGCTATTCTCAAGCAACAGTTCTGCCTCCTCACGAGAACTAACTGTCCAGACTCAGCATTCCAGCCAGGCAGTGCCTGCAGTCTGAACAGAGAAGCAGCAATTCTCTCCAGCACAAAGTGTTGATCTAGAGGTTGACCTCTGAGGAGAGGACAGCCACCATAATTGTCTTGTGTTTTCCCTTCAGCAGTTATCAGACTTCACAACAAACCACACGCATCTTCGGCTGCCAAGCAGCAGTAGTTGTGTTTAAATGGGAGCTGCTCCGGCCATCCCTGTGCTTGGTCTGTCTCCGTTACGCAGCAGAGTGCAGTTAGAGGTGGCAAGGTGGCCAACATCAGCTTAACCCCATAGTCAGGTGCATACAGGTCACCCATATCAACGAATTGTTGCGTTCAAGACGATAAATCCTGCTCAGAGGCAGGGTTTCCTGGCAGAGCCGTACTGCTTTGGGGCTTGGACTGGAATTTGTTGCCATGTGGACACAGAGGTTTGACGTGACGCCAGCCCGAGTGGTGTCCCTGCACAGCGGCTCCCTGTGCAGTGCAGGCGTGCCTTTGGGATAGGGATGTCCTTCATCTTGATTCTAGTGCTTGGGGTTTTGTACCTCCTCTTCTGTTTTTAGTCACTTTCACAGGTGTTTATATCCTCATTGCTTCCAACTAATTAGTTCTAATAATTATAGCACGACTTCATTTACTAGTTAAGTTTTAATTACTTGCTACTATTAGGGGGTTTCTTAATGAATGCCTTTCTTGACCTTTTAAATAAAAATAAGAGCAATTCTTCTGTCCTTGTGCTAATCAAATGCTTTCACAGAAAATAAGTGTCTTACCTGAACAAGAACTTCAGGATTAGGCTGAATATAATGCTTCAGTTTTTGTGCTTTTGGAAATCTTTCCTTCCCAGACCTAAGCAAGGCTGCAAGATCGCAGGAGACACCCTTAGTTCAGAGTCTGCTGGTGAATGCTGCAGGACAGCCTAGAAAAGAGAAAGTGAAATTACCATCATCCCTTCAGGGCAGAAAACCAAACTCCATACCAAATAAAAAGGTAAATCATCATCTTTTTGTTGAGATCAGTATCCTCTCAGTCATCTCTTTTGCATGAAATGTTCGTCCTGGAGCAATACCATAAGGTATTTTGAATCTTTTTACTGAAACAGCAGCAGTTGCAATTTATGTAGAAGGTCCCTGGCAATTCTGACCGTACCTTTCCTCCCAAGTGCGAGGGCAGCCTGGTGCGCTGAAAGCGTAGCTCTGCACCAGGCTCTCACGTGAAAGCGCTGATTTCCAAAAGAGCAGAGCTTCCCCCATTCCCCCTGAAACATCTCCATGGCTTAACATGTCTGAAAACTCAAACTGGTATAAATTCACGGACAATATTCAATGTACCTCTTTGGTTTTTACTCAAATTAGGGTGTCTTTTTGTAGTTCCTCAGGCTGAGTGGACAGAGGTCAAACGTAGGTTAAGTAACTCTGAACCTATCACGATGGCCACCAACTTTATCTGTCATCTAATATTTTACTTCTGTTTTCAAAGATAGAAGATCCTGTCGCAGGAAGGGTCAACACATCTTCTCTTGCAACAAGAAGACAGCATCATAGTGGCTTCCATCTCATTCCACCCAGAGTGACGCTTGGAGTACTCAAGGAAGGCTGCACTTACGCGGCCACTGTGATCCTGAAGAACGTTGGTGTGAACTTCTCAAGGTTAGTTTGAATTCTCAGTACCTTGGGTTTTAACTGTCCAAGTACGCATTGCTTGTTAATTGTCAGGCTTCTCATCTGATTAACAAGAGGTAACCAAGGGTGGGTTTAGATTTGGAATCAGTCAGTAGTGACTGACTGGATAGAGGAGAGGAGATAATATTAGAAATACTTCAGCATTATTTGCATATTAGTGTTCCTAGGAATCACAGAATGGTTTGGGTTGGAAGGGACCTCAAAGATCATCTCGTCCCAGCCCCCTGCCACAGGCAGAACAGAGGAAAAGCACATTCCTCCCACTCCATTTGCTCAACCACACTTGCCTCAGCTGTGCTACATGTCCCTTGCTTGCCAGCTTAAAGGACAGTCCTTAAAGTCCGAACAGCTTCTGGGATTCCACCTAAGGTTTATCATTTCAAAGTAGCCTCATTCCAATGGTTATAACCCCCCCACGGCTTTTCAAGAATTGCATTACTTGGGGAAAAGCTTTCATTTCAGATAGCTCAAAAGCCCCAAAGCCAAAATCAAGCTTCTTAAACTCCTGTGCTCCGAGACAGCTATTCCCACCAAAGTTTTCCAGTGTCAGCTTCTCACTCTCACCTATCCTCAATTACCTCCTGCGACTGGAGAGGTTCTCAGTTTACTTAGCAGTTAACTGGAAGCTGCTATTTAGGCCAATCCCAGCCATTTGTCCTCAGGGACAGTTACATACTGTTCTCTCAAAAACTTAGAGTAAGCCAAGCTTGCAGCACTCCTGTTCTATGGGCCCTTTTTCTGCTAGACCCACAGGTCCCAGCAGAGGGAGGCTACCTGAAAGCATGGAAATGAACATCCTACTGTCATGTTGATCTAGGTCATCCAAAAGCTGGTTCCTCTTTTTAGCACTGGTGATAAATAGTCTTTGGTTTTTTCCTGCAACATTAGCACTGGTTAAGGAAAACAGCAAGGAGGGCATTAAACATTTCTTGGGCTTGAGTGTGCAAGTCTCATGGCCCTGATGTGCTGCAGCTTCTGCCTGCTGTTTCTTTGGAGCAAACATGAGCAGGCACCTGCCAAACTTCCCTTTTCTGGATGCAGGTGACTTACAGTCTGAAGTCCTCTTTAAAAAGAGTCAAAAGAGATGTCACAGCGACACTGCCTCAGCAGTCCCAGCATCCCTTCACTCTGGTACCACAGTGATGGAATGAAATAAACAGAAACATCTGTCTGACATTTGTTGTTCCTCCTCCTGGGGTAGCTAATTATCACCAAAAGAGGAGCTCACTGGAGACTCACCCTGCTGGGATCGTCATGATCTTTTGTGAGCACTCAGACAGCTGAGCACTGTCGAACACCAGCTGAGACAACACTGTACAGCCCCTTCCACCAGGACGGAGGCAGAGATGGTTTGGGTTTTTTAAATGAGCCTAGTTAAGCATGGCCTCAAAGAGACATTTTTTCCCTTTAATGCACATCGTGGTGCATGCCATGTTTATCATGGCAGATAAACATACCAGCATCCTAGAGCTCAAGATGTGCACATTACCTTTTTTTTTTCTTCTTTTCTTTCCCCTCTCATGCCAGGGCACTACATGTAGACAGTCAAGGAAAATACCACCGTGATTCTGATAAATCCAGCTCATTTTTTAAGCCTTTTACTAGATGCTTTGAGAGGAGAGCTAAGTGACTCGCTGCTGAATGCCAGCAGAACACGCTGAGGGCAGGGGTAGGGCCAACGGTGGGCAACTCTGAGCCGTGTCTGCCTCATGCTGAAGCCAAGACTTTTCCATGACAGGGTTACAAGTTAACTATGTGCCTTCCAAACTGTCCATGCTAAAGGAAGGGAAGGACGAGCTAAAAAATTCTGCTGCTGTTTGCACAACTGGAGGAAGAGCAGCCGGGCTGCTTCCCAGCAGAGCCTTCTGCCTGCCTGAAACAGCTTCTGGCAAACTGATTCCCTTCTTTTTCCGACAGGTTTCGGGTGAAGCAACCACCTCCGCACACGGGGCTGAGAGTGATGTACGCGCCAGGACCAGTAGGTTTCACAGATGTTCTGGGCTTTGCTAGACCCAGGTGGCCCTCAGGCCAGCTCGGGTCCCTCTTGCACCAGCTGTCTGCTACCACAGCTGGCGGGGTGCACGAGTTGTTTGAAGTTACCTGAAGTGATCGCTGCCCTCTGCTGTCTTCAGCCAAGCACCTTGTGTGCTCCAAGTCTCAGAGCTTGTGCCAGAACGCAGAGGGATAAACATGTGAAGCTCAGGGGAAAGTGGCAGGTCAAGCACTGAGGTTGAAGAGAACTTTTTTTGATGCATATGAAATACTCTACCACTACCTTGGCCTTCTCCCATGGTTTAGGGTTCTTGTTGTATCGGCTCTGTCTTACAGCTACGCTTTATCTCCTGTCCTGACACATTCAAGAACTGAACCTCATAAACTCTTGCCTCAGCCGTTTCTCCTCCTGCTTGCAACTGTTCTCCACCTTAAGCCTTTTATCTGTCGAAGTACCAGAGCACATGAAATTGTCCCATTAAGTAGGGAGCTTTCATGCTTTCTGCTTTTGTTTGGTCTCTCTCTTCACCTGTGTGTTGTATCAGAGTAAATATTGTGCTGGCCAGTATCCCCACAGCATCCAAGTAACATGAGGCATTATCCTTGCCAAGGCTTTTACAGGCTTGGAATCAAGAAGCAATGACTTGTGCTAGAAGTCAGTGCCAGAATGCAAGTTTAATCTCATAGTCCACAGCCCCAGCCACAACTCAGTACTTAAAATGGCTGGAATTTCTGTTTTCTTCTCCTCTCCAAGCATCTGTCCCTTTTGTATCTCCCTTTTCTCCCTACCTCTATGTTCTTTATAGAGTAGGATAAATTATTTCAGTAGGAAGAGACTTAAAACAACCATCCAGTCGAACTGTCTGACAACTTAAGGACTGACCAGAAGATAAGCAGGTTATTAAGGGCATTGTCCAAACTCCTCTTAAACACTGACTGGCACGAGACATTGACCACCTCTCTTTTTGGTTCTCTCCCAGCTGTCCAATTCTCCTTTTCCATCTGGAACCTAAAAGGAAATTTAAGGAGAAAAAACGCAAGCACATGGCAGTTTTCTTTCAAACTGCAGTGTGAAGAGAGACTGTTTTGTCCAGACCTCTCTAGTGAGACACAGATGCTGGGGAGCCGGTGGGAACGGTCATGTCAGCTGGACACTGAGTCTTTAATTGCATCAGACAGTGCAGAACAAGAACCAGCTGCAAGCACTGCTGGAGGGGATCGTGTATGAAGCGTGCACCTTACCTGAGTTCATCCTCTGTCTCTCCTAGGTGGCAGCAGGCTTGCAGGTTGAACTGGAGATAGAGATTTTTGCCATGGTAATTGGAGGGGAAGATACTGGTGGCCTTGAAGAAATTTCCCATGATGTTGAAATATTAACAGAAGCAGAGACTCTTCTCCTGCCTGTGAGGGCAAATATCCTTTGTTGCCTTACTTTCCACACGCACCTTCTAGCATCAACCCCGGGGACCGTCCAGCTGTCAGAGCCTGAAGCATCGTTTCCAGCCGAGGCTGCTGAGGTAGCGAGCTTTACTGTCCTGTTCAGAAACACACAACTGGGTGTTTTCAAAAAGGTTAGGATTCTGACCCCAAAAGCAATTTTCATCAGAGTAACAAGGTTTTGAAAAGTGGGGGAAGGAAGAATGGTAATCTCAGAAAGACGTGGCTTTTTAAAAACAAATGAAAAGAATAGGAACTCTTTTTTTTTATGGAAATCTTTGTAACAGTTTAGAACCTGTGGTGGCATCTGATGGTACAGCCTCATGAGCAACAAAATCACGTGTCACCCTGGACACTGAGCAGACAAATGAGACAATCCCTGTGTCAGAAGAGACACAGGCACAGAGGTGCACGAGTGCTGTCAGAAATCGGCCCAGGGGCTTGTCAGTTGTTCAGCCGAGGACAAAGGTAGAGTAGAAGAAAACAGCAAAGTCAGGAACTATCATTTCTCTTTCCTTTGTGCTCCAGAAACTGTAATTATTTTTCAGATAAAATTACAGGCGCATTTTTTAAGGGCAAGTTCAGAAGAAAGGGTGAAGTTCTGTTTGACTTTTAAATCAAGTGTACACTTAAAAGCTCGGGAGAAGAGGTCTTCTGGAAACCTATAAAAAAATAGCAGGACAAGGTACATGCAAACATGTCAGGAACTCCACTCCTGCCAAGGGCCACCCTTACCACTGAAAAGAGAACTTCAGGGTCCTCTGAGACTGACCACAGTACTAGCCAGCAGCATCCACTGATGCTTTATATCCTCTGGAAGTAACACTGAAACTCCCCAAATTTACTTCGCAGAGACCCAGCGAAGTCGCTCATGCCCGTTACTGCGGAGCTGAGCTGGACGGGGCTGGTGGCACAGCAGCAAAACCAGCTCCTGCTCTGCTCCCGCTCCCCCAGGGCTCAGCCCCACAGCTGCAGACCAGCCTGCAAAACATCTGCCCTTCCCCAGAATTTTACTTGGTCTTTCATCTTGGAGTTGAGGGCAGTAGTGCGGACTCAGGTTGTTTCACAGCCAGAATTAACTCCAGCCTCCAGACACAGAGTTTGAGTTCCATAAATGTGCAGAAGCGGTTGGATCCTTAACGTGACATTCCACCTGTGTTAACCAGGGACCTTTATGAGTGCCGCCCACCAGGGTACCCCCAGGGAGGGGCGGCAGCAGCAGTCCGGGTGCTTCCCACAAGCCCCCTGCCGCGGTTCCGCATCGCGCTACCCCGCCAGCTTTCTGGGTAACGTAAGTGCTGGGTGCAGCTGTGCCAGTTGAAGTACAGTCGTTTCTCCTCTTGGCTTCTTCCTTCCTCTTGCACACCACGGGCACACCGCGCGCCCCCGGCAGCGAGGCTGCCCTGCACGCATCACGCAGCCGTGGTGGCCCGAGACAAGAGAAGGGGAACACTGGATGGCATCAGCCAAAAGACTGAAGTGCAAGAGATTTACAGACTACTGCAACTGCCCAGCTCAGTGGAGGCACTCAGCGCCCAGAGCCTCCCTGGTCCTGGCCCAAATCCTTCACTGTCTCCACATTAAACAGCCATTGAGCCTCCCGGGAGCGGGAGGCTGCATTTATTGCAGTTAAACCCTAATAAATCAGCCTCTCTGTAACACTCCTCACGTTCTAAACCCAAGTCTCACTGCTGACCCTTTGACACTGACAGCAAGTCTGACACGGGACAGGAGTCCTACAGGTAGCCAGAGCAACAGCATGAGAGGTGCAAGCACGCACAACCCTCCGCATACATCGTTTCTTACAGCACATTTCTGTGCCCCTGGAGAATCAGACTCTGTAGGGAGAGTCGATGTGCCTTCCCTGCCAACAAAAAAGCCTTACTGGGAACGTCTTCTCAAACCACCAGCCAACATGTTTAACATGAGGCTGATGTTTCATCTTGCCCACATCAGCTCTACAGTACAAGCGATGGTGACAGTTCATAAACAGCAGCCCTGTGGATGTTGCTTCCCTCCTCAGCTCAAGAGTCCCCGTTTGCCTCATATGTGTAACAGTGACATCATCTTTTTCTTTCAATTTTAACATCTGTAAGTCTGTACCCAGCTGTACCTCATTTCCTCTCCTCTGGAGAAAAAGAAAAGCGACCACATCAGTCAGTTCTCAAAAGAAACGTAGCAGAGAGAGACACGTGCACCTCTGAGTGCTGCATCTGCTCTAGGACTGCCCACAGTACTTCAAACAGAGCTTTTTTTTCCTGTTTAAATATCTTCTTCCATTTTCCAGTGTGAAATTTTGTCCCCAGAGTAACAATTATAGTCTAGAAGAACAGAGAATTTGATGCCTTCCAGCTTAGGGGCTTACAACCTGGAGCTCATCAGTGAGGGTGATTTAGACAAACTTCTCTCACTTTCTGTTGAGCTGGAAGAGAAATACTGACAGAGTCAGTTCCCCTTTCAGTGAGACACCCACTGTCCCAGCTCGGTCCGTTACAGCCACACACTAAGATGTGGCTGCTGGATCATCTCTGTACACTGGGTATACACCAGTCTGGTTTCCTGCCAAAGTCTTTAAGTCCTGGAAATTCTCATCAGTGTCACCTCCCATTAAAAGCTCCTGGTGGAGAGAAATTAACCTCCTCCCATGTGGCTAATCCAGCTAATCACAGGGACTGCCTTGCTGGTTGCCATCACCATAGTCAAATCTCTCTCCTGCT